TTCCCAAATTCTACTGTGACAACTGACTTTTTCAATTCTATCATTCAAAAATTTACCTTCGATTTTGACGGTAATTGCTATCAGTAATATCTGCAACAGTATCTGTACTAAAAATACCCATTGTTTTCATGAAGTTCATTTTTAAAAGAAAATCATAATTAGTGGAAAAGTTTACCATCCTGCCACAGCGTGATAAACTCTTAGGAAACATACTATTTCTATGTTTGTGTTGTCTATTGCGGAACGCCAGAAGTTTAAAGTGCTTAGACAGGCCCCACGATTTTAATAAATCTTACAAAAATTAAGCGATTCGAGCGAACGAAGTGACACGAGCCGCACCTTTATCTTGATAATTTATGCTCTCAGTTGTTTGACCATTGGCTTACGCTTTACCTATATATTTCTGAATTTTCAGGCATTTTTCGATGAGCTATAATTGTACTCAAGAGAAGGAGCCGATGGTGGGGACAGCTCGTATTCTTTATGCTAGCACATGTGTTGCTATTGTTATTGGTTCATTATTCCTGCACACGATTTTCGCTTTGGTCAGTCTGACAAATTATTAAAGGCTCCTCATGGTTCCATTAGTCTCTTGAATTTGAGAAGGCTTTTGAGGATGAGGTGTTGGAGCGTGGATTAATTTTCTCGAATTTAATCATCGAATTAGACTAGGGGTCTCTCGCTCATATCTATTGAATGATTCAATTTATCTACCGCCTGGTTCCTTTCAAGGAAATTAGCGTTTTACTACATATAAGCATAATAACTTTAACTCAGTAACTATTGACAACAATTAAAGCACTGTTAAATGAACTTTGCTTTCCTTGGCTTATAGTATGATTTAGAGGCTGCCAGTTTCTATTATAGGCTTGTCAGAAAATGAAGGGTTGGAACTCGGATTTCGCTTTTTATCTTCTGCAGCTGATGGCACTGTTTAGTATACTTAGCTATCTTGGCTTACTTGCTTCCTATATTCACTCTATAGCCCTATTTAAGAGCAATGTACTTACTCGCGTGAGTATATTCAGTGGCAACAGATTTGCTTAAAGCATTCAAACATATGTAAATCGTTTCAGATAACAGGTTCAAATTATCAAGGCAGTTTCTTCTCATATGTCTTGACAAACGCCTGTCTTACGGCACATCGCTTACTCTACACATTGTTCCCATTCAAGGCACGAAATATCCTATCTGAGAACCTATTAAGAGTGAGTGAACAGCATATCAGAAGGAAGCAAAACAACTGCAAAGCAGTTATTTAAATTCTTTTCTTCAGCTGTGTCTCGTTCTCATACTAGCATTCTATATAGTATATGTGAGCATCACTCTAACTCCACTAGCCTCAGTTGTGTATTGTCCTGCGCAGTTGTTCTTCTATTTCGAGTGGAGGCCCTTGCTCAGAGTTCTTCAAACGTAAGACTTGTATATAATATAACAGTGAGAAACAGAAAAAAGAGAAGCAAGTCAATATTTCTTAAGATTTGACGGGTAACATGCGTGATCAGTTTACTTATATTTGGCGTCGATCATTCTCAAAAAGGGAAAGAGGAG